GACAGGCGCTCACATCCCGCAGTCGAGTCGACTATTTGGTCGATGCGGGGAGAGGAAAATGATCTTTCGGACAGGCCCGATTGATATGTTTGAAATCAATGCACATGCAATGTGACTTGTCCTTCTTGGGGACCATGACAACATTGGCGAGCCACTCAGAGTGGTAAATCTCTCGGATAAACTCTGCTGCTAAGAGCCGAGCCACCTCCTCACCAATGACTTTTCTCTTCTGGACGGCGGACCGTCAAAGATGTTCCTTGACAGGTTTCACCTTTGAGTCGACTCGTAGACGATGCTCAGCCAGCCCCCTGGGAACACCCAGCATGTCAGCAGGCTTCCATGCGAAGATGTCCCAGTTCTCACGGAGGAACTGGATGAGCGCTTCTTCCTATTTGGAGTCGAGTGTTGTTGAGATATGAGTCAGAGCAGCATTGGGGTCGGTCGGGTGGATGTGAATCGGCTTCGTCTCACCAGATGACTGAAATGCTGATTCTGTAGCAGGCTTCTTGGGTCGCAACAAATCACTCGGATCTACAGTTTTGTGGTATTCCTGCGGCTCCACCACTGCCATCTGAGCATCGGCGATCTTTGAGCCCTTCTGAAAGCACTCTTCTGCCTTTTTCCGATTGCTAGTGATGGTGATCACACCTTTGGGACCAGGCATCTTCAATTTGAGGTACACGTAACATGGTCGAGCCATGAATCGTGCATAAGCTGGCCTGCCTAAAATGGCATGATAAGCACTCTGGAAATCCACAACTTCAAATGTTAACTTTTCTTTGCGGAAATGCTTTGAATCGCCGAAAACCACATCAAGAGCAATTTGGCCGAGTGACTCAGCCTTCTCCCCAGGAATGACTCCATGGAAACTCATGTTGCTGGAACTGAGTCTGGACGTCGGAATGCCCATTCCCTTCAGCGTCTCCGCATACAATATATTCAGTCCGCTACCACCGTCCATCAGAACCTTAGTCGGTCGAGTGCCTTCGACGACTGGGTCGACCACCAAAGCTTGCCTCCCAGGGGTGGCTATGTGTGTCGGATGATCAGACTGGTCGAATGTGATGGCGGTCTGAGACCATTTCAGATAACTGGGTGTTGCCGGAGCAACCATATTCACTTCCCAGTTGATAACTTTCAATCGATTTTTGCTCTCAACATCAGCAAAAATCATCAGGGTGGAATTGACATGGGGGTATCCTCCATCACTGTCCTCTTTGTCCTCAATCTTGTCCGACTCCTTTTCTTTATCCTTGGGTTGTTTCCCTTGAAATTGCTGGATTAAGAGCTGGCACTGGCGAGTGGTATGTTTCGGGTAAATGAAGTTACCCTCTTCATCTTTCTTCGTGTGGATGTGGCATGGCAAATCCATCACGTCGTTTCCTTCCTTGTCCTTCACCTTCTTAGGGTTCCAAGATCCTTTGTGCTTCCCTTTAAACTTGCCCTGAGTCACGGCCAAGGCTTCTCCAGGAGCAGCTGGCTCGGCTTTTCGCTTCTGCTTCCGACTGGAGTTCCCTTTTTCCGACTGGCTCGGCTTGAGTCGATCCTCCTCTTCACCATTGGCATATTTGGTGGCAATCTCCATCATTCGACTCAGGGTCATGTCTCCGGTCCGACCAAACTTCAAACTTAACTCTCTGTTCTTAACACCTTCCTTGAAGGCACAGACTGCTTGGTGATTAGATACGTTCTCCATCGTATGATGCAATGTGATCCACCTCTGGATGTAATCCCTCAGGGTTTCATTCTACTTTTGTACGCAAACCTGCAGCTCTGTCAAACCTGCAGGTCGTTTGCACGTCCCTTCAAATGTCTTGACAAACACTCGGGCAAGATCTTCCCAAGTGTAAATGCTGCTAGGTGCCAACTGATTCAGCCAGGCTCTGGCCGAGCCCTCCAACATAAGCGGTAAGTGTTTCATGGCCACCTCATCATTACCACCGCCAATCTGAATAGCCACTCGGTAGTCCTCAAGCCAAGTATCGAGTTTGGACTCACCAGTGAACTTACTCACCACAATCGCTAACCTGAAGTTGGGAGGGATCACCGCGGCTCTAATGGCTCTGCTAAAACACTCCGGACCTGAGACATGAACTCGGCTGCTGATGGGCACATCTCTATCATGGCCTTCTCGGTGAGCTCTGTTCCGGTCGACCAGACCTTGCATGCTAATGGATCTCGCGTCAAAGCCTGGTTCGCTGGGGTCGACTGGAACCCTTCGCCCAACACTGTGCTGGCGTCTGTCATCTTGCTGCCGAGGGGCGTAAGACCCACCCCTTGGGGGAGGAGTGGGCACTCGACGCCGGTCATCGCGATCGAATCGGTCATCATACTGATCACGTCGACCTCCACGTCCCTCACGCCGCAGAGGCGATCTTGGGCTATGGGCCGATTGGACTGTATTCGTAGCGACGGATTGACTGTGAATCCTATTACGCGACTGCGATACAGCTAAATTTTGATCTCCTGTTGCCCAGAGCAAATCTCTGATCTGCATCAAGCCTCTGCCAGCCTCTGACTGAGAGGGCTGAATCGACTCCGCTATACGGGCTGCAGCTGCCAGATTCTGAATTGGGGTTCGATATACCTGAGTCGGTGGCGAAAAGAGTTGAAGTCGACTGGAGTCTGGAACTCGTTGCCGCGCGCGCTCATCGAGTGCTCGCTGGAGGTTCTTTAGTCGAGTGCGCTCAGCCAAGTTGGCCAAACGCGCGCCCTCCAAGGCGCGAGCCTCGGGGGTTTCTCCTACGATAGGAGTATGCAAAGCATCCGTGTTCCGGCGGCGAAGATCTTCTCTTTGCAGCGAAGTGAGTGGCTCGGGTTGATACTCCTCATGGACCTGAGCCGGGTCGCCTCCGCCGTCCCCTCCGTCGGTGCGGGGGAAGCCAGGAGGACTACGAGGCCCATTGACCATCAGGACCTCCGCCGCTGGATCACTGTTGTCGCACTCGGATGCAGTCTCTACGGAGCCAGTCGACAGATCGAACAGGCCGTAGAGAGATTCGTCGGGCTCAATCGCCGCGACTTGGGTGGTGGCCGATTGACGAGCCACTGCGAGACAGGGAGGGAGGACGACGCAGGAGTCGACTGATACGGGGCCGATGATTGCCGCAGCAGGACGCCGCGGACACATGTGCGAAAGTGTGTCGCCCTGCGGACTGGGAGCGCGTCGATGTCGAGTGGAGCCTCCTGGAGCCAAGCGGAGTCGTCGGCAATGAACGTGAGCGCGCCGAGACGGATCTCGCGGCCCTCCACTAAACCTCCGCCAGAAACCATGATGAAGGCGATCGGAACAATTGCAACTTCTCCAATAAGTCGCTAAGACACCTGCCCCACGGTGGGCGCCAACTGTCGTGGTTCTAAGCCTGACAGTAGAATAGGGGGTAGGTATGGAGAGGCAAGATCCTAGCTATGGAGTAGTTGTATACGCAAGGATGTCACGAGTTCAGGCCCTTCTTGGAGGAAGTAACAGCCCTACGTCTCGGAGCCCGGAGGCGGTCGATTGGATTATATGCGTATGAGTTACAAGGGTGCGAACCCTTCTGCCTGTGGAGGGGGTGGCTTATATAGAGTGCGCCAGGAACCCAGCCAGCCCACGTAGCGGAGGGTTCAATGTACGTAAAGGCCTGACGTTACTGGTAACGCTCTACATAAAGTGCTATCATGGCCATAAAGACTACTTAATAACAGACCATTTGGGTGCAGAATGACCCTAGATCTCCTGGTGGTCGAGTGAGTCTTCATGGTCGAGTGTCTTCGAGTCCGTCGAGTGGAATCCTTCCAGGTCGACTGAAAGGCAGTTTCTTCTAGAGATGTCCTTGAGGAGGGTATCTTGGACAGGTCCATGACCCTACCCTAGGTACATGGCTTCATCATCGTCCACTTCTCCCATCTACATCTAGTCAGCCTCGCTCACTCACCGGTGACAGAAAAACTTAGCTACTCACGCGCCCGCCATGGGTTTCTTCAATAGCAAAGGCAACGGTAAGGGCAAGCTCGACGCCGGCGCAGGCTCATCGCACGCGTCGCCGCCTTCGCGATGGTGCCGTCTGCGGGGAGGGTTCGCCGGTGACAGAAAACCCTAGCTACCCACGCATCCGACATGGGTTTCTTCAACAGCAAAGGCAAGGGCAAGCTTGACGTCGGTGCCAGCTCATCCCGCGCGCCACCGCCTTCGCGATGTTGCCGTCTGCGGGGAGGGTTCGCCGGCCATTGGAACGGCTCTACATCCCGGTGCACCGCACGCCATACCACTGGTATTACCGTGTGTCGCTGTCACGGCCCACTGGTATTTCCAACACTCCTTTTTTTAAGTACACCTTTTATTCCTCAGTAGGAAGGGACAATGTTTAAATTCTCGTCCGGCCGTCTTTTTATCATTGGTTGGCAGATTGGATTGGATTCTCAGGACAAGTTATTGGAATGTGTGACATTTTCCACAAACATTTGTTTGAATTGTACGAAACACTTGTTTAAACTATGAAAACATTGTGTTACATTGTATAAACTTTTTTCTAAAATGTGATGAACATATTTTTAAAACACATGAACACTGTTTTTTGAATGGTATGAAACATTTTTTAAATTGCACAAAAACTTTTTGAAAATTTCACGAATACTTTTTTTCGAACGCGTCAGCATTTTTTAAATGTCACAATTTTTTTCCTTTGAATGCTATCATTTTTTCTAAAATTTGTGTGAATAAATTTTTATACTGCATGATCTAAAGAAAACTATCTAATGTAATGAAGGAAATATATATATTTAAAATATATAGAAATAAAAATAAAAAAAGAAACCAACTGACTAACCAACAAATGAAGGAGCGCATTACTGAGCCGACCCAGTAGCTCCTTCGCCTATCACCCACGGCCCACCGGCCCCGTCAAAAAAAAGAGAGAAGGAAAGATTCGGAAAGAGAAGCTACAGCGAGGGGAAAGCCGCACCGAGGAAACCCTAACCACCGTCGACTGATTGAGCGGCGGCGGCGGCGAGCGGCGGAGATGGAGTTCGAGACGATGAGCAGCGCATTCGCGGGGCTCAAGACCCACACTAGCGACGACGACGGCGCAGCAAGGCCGGCCGGCGGAACTCGCGGGGCCGCGACCGGGAAGGAGCCCATCTGCAGCAAGGCCGGGGCAAACGCACGGCGGCGGGAGCGCCAACTTTTTCGCGATTCGATCAAGGCAGGGCGCCGCCCCCCACGTCGAGGCGACGAGGAAGAGGAGGGCGCGATCCCCGTCTACCGCCGTGCCTGGGAGACCTCCTTCGGCGGCGTCTTCGGCTCCTTCGACGACGAAAGTAAGAACAAAACTGTTGTGCCTATACTCATCTCAGCTCACTTTATCTTTCCATCAAGCTAGTGTCAAATCAAGTTTCAGCACAATCCGATATGCGATTTCGTAGCGTGCGCGATGCGGTTTTCGGTTAATTTGTAGTGTAACAACAATTAATTGCAAGGATGAGCAATGGGCGCATGAAACTAGATCGATTTTCTTTGCCATCCCCCTTCTTCAACCAGAAGAGGGGTCTCTCTGAAAACTGTTACTCCAGCTTTGGTAACCAAGGAGTACATCTATTTTACCAGGAAACAACCACATATTCAACCCATTAGATCATATAAGATGAATATAAACAAACCATCTTCCTGATAGTAAGCTGCTGCCATTGCTATCCAAAGTACTGTATCTCTGATCCATCTAATAACTTAATCTGGCTTCTTGCAGCTGCCCTTGGTCCCATGCGCTACACATCTGGACCTATCCCGGAAAATGCTGTTCCAGCTAGCACCTTGCAGATCTTCTCTGTCAGAGTTACTGACCTGAAAGGTCTCTGGTGGCCACTTCATGTCTATGGCTTGGTTGCCACCAGAGATGAGGCAGATCATAATCGCAACTTTCTTTTCAGGCGCACGAGGGATAACTGCCAAATCCTTACCAAAGAGGTGCTTGCTTGTTTACCTTTTTTCGTCATCTATCCTTTTGCCGCTAGTAATATTCAGCATCATAATTTACTGAAATCGTGTTGCCCCTCCCAGTGGACTTGTGTATGTTTCTCCATGTCCATGGCGTAGTGGGCAATGCCATTTTCTATGCTTTGTTATTTGGAAGGAACAAAGGTATCTCGAACAGTCTGTCAGCTAACTAATTAGTGGTTATGCTGGCATTGCAGGATCCAGTTTTGCTGTTAACAGGCCCGTCTCGCGCAGTCCTGTTGGCTGGTCTGGTCACCTTCGAAGTACAGCTGATGGTAAAGAGCAAAACTGAACTTGCAGATAAAGTGCTGGCTTCCAAAGTCTTCTATTTCCACCAGGGATCTCGCCGAGAAGACAGTATCTGTACACGCATCCCCTACAAGCATTGTGCGCTCGAGTTTGCGCTCGCGCCTCTGCGGCATTCGGTCGAGGCCACCGTCAGCGTCCAGCTCGTCGACGGGTCGTGGCCGGACGGTCACCAGGGACTGGTCTTCTCCTGCACCGACAGCATAAAAGATACCAAGATGGTGCTGCTTGACTGTCGAGATGGGAACATGCCCATCGGTTCGGACGGCATGTTTGAGCTCTCCAGGTGCGTTGTTTGCGCAGAGCTGGGCGGGAGGGATAAGCTCATGGTGTCCGTGCAGGCGCGGCGCGTCGGTTTCCTTACGAGAAATGCGGCCGTCTTCGAGCCCAAGATGTCCGGGACAAGCGTTGGCATGTGTGATCTTCGTTTCTGCAAGATGCAGGTGACCGTTGCCTGGTCCCTGCTCTCCACCTCTGGCACACATGCAGATGCAGGTGGTAAGTAGCAGGGGCTGTCTGGGTAATGTGTGCTAAGCCATGTATGGAGAGTAGTATGTCGTTTATTTGGTCCTGTGTTTTCCTAGCTCCGTTGTAAGCTTGTGATGGGCATGGGCCTTTGTTGTGAGACGGTTCGTTGTAAATATACCGGTGTCAAGGTTTTGGGCATGACAAATCTTGCACGTTGTACCTTGGGGTTTGGATTTGGGCATGGTAGCCTTGCACTTTGTACCTTGGGATTTGGGCATGACGATCTTGCACATTTAGTCTGACCTGAAAGTGTTGTGAGACATTATCTTGCACTTAGTCTCATTTACAAAGTTTCACTTATGCCAATTTGAAAGGTAGGGAGCAAAGGCCATTGCTAGTTGGTTCTAAATGAAAAGGTGCACTCTGTGCACAATCGAAGCCTTTCGGTCCACTAGTAAACGTGCACGTGCAATGCACGTCTCTACCAAACTTGCACGTGCAATAATGCACGATCTTTATTCTAATAACCTCCGCCCTTTCACTAAAGCGATCTACAAGGGCCAATGGTAGAAACATACCAGCACTCGGCAATGTCACAAACCCTCCTTCGCAAAAAAAAAAAAAATGTCACAAACCCTGGCGTGGCCTTATAGCACTACCAGCATGCATTGCCATCTCTCTACTCCCGTCGCTACATATGTCCATGGCAGAGTTGCGACTTTCTCCTTGCCATGCAGCCGCTTTTGCCATGTAATAGTAATGGGATGTGCTTCTTCTCAACTCGAGGGGCATAGACAGTTAAATCGCCACATACAACAATTATAGCTAAGTGTAGGACGCAAATGAAGTAAATTCAGAAGGCTTGAACAACTTATTAAAATGTTGAAGCGCAAAAAAATTCTACCATCAAAAGATGAAATGCATAGTACCAGTGACGGAGCTACGTTGGGGCAAAACCCGGCCATGGCCCGCCTAGTGTAGCACCAAATAGTGAAGATTGAGAGACTCTTAATAGGAAAATTAGTAAGGTTAGCTTTAATCTGGCATGTTTGGCCCACCCAAGGATTTTACCCTAGCTCCGCCACTGCATAATACTAAAGCATTAAAATCAAAATGAAATAGGATGAATTCAACTACCTTCGGGATTCCATATAAAGGTTGTGGAGTGGACATGACGCAACAGAAAAACGGCAAGCAAACAATAGCAGTTCGTATGGAAATGGTTACCATAAGGAAATAACAATTTTCACGAAAAAGGAGCTTATATTTTCAGTCTGGTGGAAATAAACATAAAAACATAGAAAAATAAATCTATGCATTGCACGTCTATGGCACTATTAATGCGAAAAGTTTTAAATAAATATGACAAAATACTTATTTCAGTTCTCAAGATAATATTAAATTATTAATGCGTACAAAGAAAATACCCAAAGCTATTTGTGGTTCCTAAAGCATGCAGTTGAATTATTGGCCAATGGAGAAATCCCAGATCTATCTGTGGTTCTTTCATCAGCAATCATTCCTTGTGTTTCTATAAATCTCTGTAGTAATGAGTTCAGCTGCATAGAATATTCAGACTAATAACACTGAGAGGCAAGAGCAACTTAGCAAAACTATTGTTGGCAAAGAATAATTCTCTACAACACAGAGTCTGGAACTCTGGATCCTCTTTTATTTGACCACTATTAGCAAAAGTAGATCCTCTGTTAGCTTGCAAATGTTAACAAAAGTACTTTTAAGACACAAATGAAAAAGGCTTAATTGGTTACCAAGTGTGGGCGCATGCCACAAGCTGAATTAACTACTCTTTCTCCTCAAACTGAATCAAGATGCACTCGTAATGGGCATATCTTTCCCCGTCTGACAGGTTCAAATTATCATCAGTGCTAGTACCAAGTGCACAGGTCAATTCATGCCAACAGATGTGAACCGAAAAGCAGAAAAAACAAACTAACCTGATTGAGCAACAACTTGAAATACAGCTGCAAACAAGGGTGCAAGCATGGTATCATACATGATTTATCTAGTAAGGATTGTTGTAAGAACTTATTCTGAATTCTCTGAGATCCAAAGAGGTATATTGGACAAACTATTCTGATCTAGAAACCCCGAACAGTCTGGAAGGGGATAATCAAAAAGAAAATAGCACATGTATGTTGTCCAATCCATGAATGGCATACAAGCTTCCTACCACAAATTTTAAAAAATTCATGCTAAAATATGAAAGATTGTAGAAGATATAGTACAACAGATGATTGGAGATAAATTCGACGTCTATAACCAAATTTTCAAAACAAGCATAAATTGCACAGAACACCACTCAAATGGTCAGGAGGAAAAACGCGCATCTTCTGTTCCTTTGAATGGGCTCCAGCGTCACTGGGGCAACAACCTCTACATCTTCGGCATCCTTCCCCAGTCTGCAACAATAAATAAAAATATTAGGCAAGAAATATGCAACTGGCCTGATATCCGTATAGTGACTGCCGCCGTCGTGGTGCAGGTGCTCGACCTGAATTAGTGAGAGCTAACCGCTGAATCTTCACGGCGATTAAGCGCTCCCATGAATTAGAGAGAATCACTCTCTGCGCGGATTACAACCATTTTCTTTTATCTACGTGAGAATGCTTGCACTTCCAATACTAATCACAAACAGCTACATGCCTTGGCGATCGGCCGATCTAGATAAACTGAAGAAAAAGGAAAAAGGTATCTCATTCTCATCCATCTACCTACCTACATGTAGTTCTGAACTTAGCCTCCGCGGTGAGCTTCTCCTGCTCGCTGGCCAGAGGCTGCCCATGCTCGGTCACCTAGCCGGGGGTCGCCGAGTTTGTGCTTGAAGGCATCTCTAACTCCGATAGTTAGTGTATGGAAACTACTCAGAAATTGCAGCTCGGTGAGGTCCGCAGGACTGTGAAGGAAGCTGCTAGCTGAGATGTAATTTCAGATGTAGTAACACACTAACAGTACCACCGGGGCAGCTAACAATTGATCCGGTGTCTGAACCACACAAATTTATCTTCTTACTCATCGCATGAATACACTCCCCCGCTTCTCTTCTGAAATCGTGAGCAGGCAATGGTTTGTTTGGGGATTACCTTGATCATCGTAGAGCTTCCAGTGAAGATGGCGGCGACAGTCGGGGGCGCATCGAAGGGGCTCGAAGGGAGAGATGGACGCGTGCGGACGCTTCATTCTCGGCTCCGGCCCTGGCCTGCTACGGAAGGCGCCGAGGCGGACGGGAGACGCCGGTTCGGGAGAAGCGCGAGGATGATGAGGGCTGGAGGGGCGGCAGAGCAGGGCGAGGGAAGTCCACCCGCGTCCTACGCTCGTCGTTGGCACGGCTGCCTCCGCGGCATCCTCCACCTAGCGACGGGATGGGGGGTCTGTGCCAATGGCGTGGGGGCGGTGACGGGATCTGAGGGCCTCATTCTCGCCCGCATAACCGGAGGAGTTAGCGAGGAAGATGCGGCGTGCGTGGGGCGTGGACGAAGGATTGTCGGGCGGGATTAGCGGTTTGTTGATGTGCTCCATCCGGGTCGATCTGACCGGGCAGAACATCGAATCTGAACCATTCGATTAGCTGGCAGACCACGAAATTACTATGGACTCTTAGATTTGTGTAATTGGATTAGATCTAACGGCTCTAATTATCCTGTGTACATTTGCTTGGGTGGTTTTAGGGGAATTCATGTTTGCTCTTTTAATAGTAGTATAGATATAGATGATGTCAAAAAAGAACAGTTTTACTAAAATTCAGCTGTCTGTTTTTAAATTGGCTTTAGGTCGTTTTTTGTGCCGTCCAATCAGTACGAATCTCAGCACACCTTTGAGTCCTCGTTCCACTATTTTTTGCCAGCACGCGCGTGCGATTTTGAGTTTGAGCTGTTCAGATTTGGGGGAATTTAAAATTTGTAAATCACCCGACGATCTCCCCTGTGTTCGAGTTCAGTAAGCATTTGCGATGTTCAAGTTCAGTACTCTTGTGAGGCAGTTCATATCCCAAATCTGAAATATGGATTTTACTCTCTGACAGTCATCATGTATACTAGGATTTTTGTTCAGTGGCAAAATTTCTACAGCGGCCCATTATTTTTTGTGAGGTAGTTGTGGTGGTTCTCAATCCATGCATATGTGTGTGTGATTTATATTTATTTTATTTTCAGCAGCTTAAAAGGTGTGAGCTATGCATGTTTTTGTTATCAGCTCATTCTTCCCCTCAGTATTCAGATGTTTTAGCTTTTGCTCTGCCTTTTCTCAGTTTAGTTATTTTATTTTTCAGTTGATCATTTAATTCCATCGGCCTTGTATATAGTTTCAGTATTTATCATCTGTAGCAGTGTGTATTACCACTAGTAGAAAAACAGCCTAATGTTCAACTCATTAGTCCCGGTTTGTAAATGAACCAGCACTAATGTGACCATTAGTGCCGGTTCCAATGGCTAGGCAGGCGGTGCTCATTAGTCCCAGTTCATGCCACGAACCGGAACTAAGCAACACCTTTAGTCCCGGTTCGTGGCACGAACCGGGACTAGAGATGCACCTTTAGTCCCAACCGGGACTAAAGATCATCCTATATAAACCATTCGTCGAGGCCGAGCTCTCTGTTCTTCCCCTTTCCTCTCGTCTCTGTTTTCTTCCTCTCCTCTCGAGCTCATCCTTCATTTTTCACAAAATTTGTCAAGATTTGAAGGCACCCCATCCATCCAAGTGATCACAAAGGTTAGCAACTTTATTCTTTCATCTCTCATTGCTAGATTAGCTCTTGCAATGCTCTATAAGTATAGTGATTTGTGGATTTTAGTTTGGGAGGAATTATATGTGGTAGTTTATTTGATTTATATGCAATTTGAGCTCAAAATAACTCTTAGTTTGCATATGTAGTTTACTTAGTGCCTTTCCGTCTCCGTTCTAACCACTATCGATCTCCCGCATCGTCCCGTCACCGGCACCACCTTGTGATGAGCCTCTTGTTCTTATCTTTTTATATAAAGAAAACCATGTTTATGTGATTTAGATATATAGTTACTTGTAT